AAAAAAAAAAAAAAAAAAAAAAGAAGAAGAAGAAGAAAAGAAGGAAGAAAAGAAAGTGACCAGATTGTCAAGTCAAGTAAAGGTAATTACTTAGCTATTACTTCATGAAAATGTTTACATTTTGGCTGATATGATGAAAAGATAAGGAGTTATTAATTATAAACAAGATGCAAGCAACAAAAATAAAAATCAGTTGTACTACTGTAGGGCTGAGATTGTGGCTCAGTGATAGAATGCTTGCCTAGCATGTGTGAGGCACTGGGGTGAATTCTTAGCAACACATATACATTAAATAATAAAGGTCCATCAACAACTAAAAAAAAATACTATTGGGATTGACATTACAATTCCATTGTAACTAATTTATAATTACATATTATGATTTTAGTCAATGTGCGATTTTTTACCAGTCCAAGTATTAAGGTCAAAGTCAGATTCTTTTTGAAACCTCCCAACAGAAGCCAGACACATTTTAAAGATTGTTTTCCAAAATATCTGCCTGAAGGGTTTTAAAGCCTCCTTGTAAGATGAAATCAGAGAGTTCTGACTGAAAATAGGATATTAGGGTAGGAACTGCAAGAACTCCCTTCCCTGCATGATTTGTGCATTAGGTCTAGCCACAAGTGAACTCTGCAGATCTGAAAGGTGGAAGTCAAACAGCAGGCAAGTCTGCACTAGGATGACTGGCACACAGTCAGGAGCTACTGCAGCTCATTCTTGTCAGGGATCTGCTTGCTGGCTTACCTTGTTGCCATGCGGCAGAAGCCAGTTCCTCCAGCTCTTGCTAAAGCTCCCTGTTGCAGCAAGTTGGCCTGCAGCTTCTTTGGCTTCTCTGAATGTTTGGTTATATTTGCAACTTTCTGTGGCAAAGTGCACTCTTCAGCAGGATACCTGCTTCCTGTAAGTCAGAACCCTGGGAGTGATGACACACTGACACAAGTCCCAATGAGAGACAAATGGGATCCCCATTGTCCTCATGAGTTTCAGCTCATCCTTACTGCCCCATACTTCACACCCATCTTCCTTCCTTACTGCCGGCACTGCTGACCAGCTTAACCAGCTTCCCTGTCAGGACTAAAGCCTCTAATGAAGGTCATCAGTACTCATAATGGGTCAGATTATCTGACTGAACCTTAACTAATATAGAATTTTGATCCAGAGGGAATAGAAACTTAATGGATTCTCTAGCCCCAGAGTCCATAAGTGAGAGCTATTATGGGTAGGAAAGGTCAAGAAGAAGCCAGAAAAACTGCCTTTAGTCAAAGTAGCAGGTTACAAAATCAACATACAAGAATCTTTTACACCAACAAGGAATCTGCTGAGAAAGAAATCAGGAAAATAATCCCATTCACAATAGCCTCAAATAAATAAATAAATAAATAAATAAATAAGAAAGCCTAAAAATAGATCTAACCCAGGACATGAATGACCGAGACAATAAAAACCATAGAACACCAAAGAAAGAAATTGAAGATCTCAGAAGATGTCCTTGGATATAGTTAAAATGGCCATACTGCCAAAAGCAATATACAGATTCAATGCAATTCCCATCAAAATACCAAAGGCATTCTTCAAAGAACTAGAAAAAAGAGTCCTAAAATTCATTTGGAAGAATAAAAGAACCAGAATAGCTAAAGCAATTCTAAGCCAAAAAAGCAATGCTAGAGGCATCCCAATATATGACTTCAAATTATACTATAGAGTTATAGTAACAAAAACTGCATGGTACTGTCATAAAAACAGACATACAGACCAACTGTACAAAATAGAAGACACAGAGACAAACCCAAACACCTATAGTCATCTTAATTTTGATAAAGGCGTCAAAAATATATATTGGAGGAAAGACAGCTTTTTAACAAATGGTGCAGGGAAAACTGGTTATCCATATGTAGAAGAATGAAATTAGACCCTTATCTCATACCCTGCAAAATATCAACTCAAAATGGATTAAAGACATAGGAACTATACAACTCTTAGAAGAAAACAGAGTGAACACTCCAGCATATAGGCACAGGCAGTGACTTTCTCAATACAACCCCTGAAGCTCAGGAAATAAAGCCAAGAGTTAATATATGGGATAACTTCAAATTAAAAAGCTTCTGCACAGCAAAGGAAACAATTAGAAATGTGAATAAACAACCTACAGAATTGGAAAAAAGAGAACTTTGCTAGCTATTGTCCTGGGCTGAGAGCCATTGCCAAGTAGGAATGACGCATGGCATGACCCAGGTCATTTGCAGTGACATTGCATGTAAGGTGACCTTGCTCAAGGACCAGGGAGGATCTGGGTTTAGGGCGGATCAGGGTTTAGGGTGCTCCTTGGGTTTAGGGCGGTTCCAGGTTTAAGGTATATCCTGCTGGGAATAGGGCATATCCTGCTGCCTCCAGGCACCCGCTCCTTGAGTTCCCCTGGGATTCAGAGAGTATTTGGGATGCAGAGCCCAGTGGAAGTGTGGATTTTGCCCAGAACCTGTGTGTAGAGTGTCGGTGACAGTTCGAGAATAAAGAGTTGCTGTTTGAATCTACAAGGTGTGAGTGGCTCGTGATTTTGTGCCCAGCCAGACTGCGGCAGTCCTGAAAGAGGATTAATACCTTAATACCTAGAATATGTGTAAAAAAAAAATTTAAAAACCTTAACACCAAAAATCAAATAGCCCAGTTAATAAATGGTCAAATGAATTAAGCAGATACTTATCAAAAGAAGAAATACAAATGGCCAAAAAATACATGAAAAAAATGTTCAACATCATTAGCAATTAGGAAAATAAAAATCAAAACCACACCAAGATTTCATCTCACACCTAATCAGTCTCTACCCTAATACTGGAGAAGATGTAGAGAAAAAGGAACACTCTAACACTGTTGATGGGATTGTAAGTCAGTACAACCACTATGGAAATCAGTATGGGAGTTCTTCAAAAGACTAGGCATGGAACTACCATGTGACCCCGCTATACCAGTCCTCAGTATTTATCCTGAAGAATTAAAGTTATCATGCTATAGTGATACATGCATACCCATGTTTACAGCAGCACAATTCACAATAGCCAACCTATGGAACAAGGCTAGGTGCCCCCTCAATGGATGAAAGGATAAAGAAAATGTGATACATACACACACACACACACACATCAACAATGGAGTTTCATTCAGCCATAAAGAAAAATGAAATGTGCAAGAAAAATGGATGGAACAGGAGACCATTATGTTAAGAAAAATAATCAAAACTCAGAAGGTCAAGGATCACATGTTTTCTCTCATATGTGGAAGCTAGGGGCGGGGAAAAGGAAAGGAAAGGAAAGGTGGGGATAGGGGTATGAGCTCATAAAAATGAAAGGGAGAGGAAAGGGACCAAAGGGGGGAAGTGTTGGGGAGTGATATTGGTCAAATTATATTGCTATAGTATGTACACATATAATTATGTAACAACAAATTCTACTATTATCTATAACTATAATGCACCAATATTTTAAAAAAATGTAGAAAGAGGAAAAAAACTGTCTTTACCTAACTATATAGTAAACCAAAAGCTTTACTGCATACCTATAGGGTCTGCAAAAATTGTTGCCTACATGGGCTAGGGTAATGATTCCTACCACATCCCTGATCAACTTACCTACGTGGTCTGTGCAGAAGACAAGTGGATCCCAGAAACTAACAATACTTAATGGAAAAATTATAAAGCTGTGGGTCCAATAGCAACTGCTATTTCATATATGGCTTCACTGATGGAGCAAAACACATCCCTGGCACCTGGTATACAGCTATTCATTTGCTGAATATTTATTCTCTTTATCTTTTTACCTTTTAGCAAAGGTCATCATAAGCAGTTTGAAGGGCTAGCAACATATCTTCACTATCCCATCTCAGAGAAGTATCAACAACACTGGAGCCCTATATCACAATCTAATCTTCAGAGACTTTGATGGCTTCTCCATTCCACTACACATCATACTGGCTCATTACATTGATAATATCATGCCTATTCAACCTGTTGAACAAGAAACAGCAACAGTAGCTACTCTAGAAACTATTCTATAAACTATTAAGACAGATACATGCCAGAGATGGAAAATATATCCCACAAAAATTTGAGCCCATCAACTTGGTGAAATTTCTATAAGTCAAGGGTCTGGGGGATGTTGAGATATTCCTTACAATATAAAGGGCTAAGTGTAATGGCTTAGATATTAGGTGTCCTCAAAAAGCTCATGTGTGAGACAATGCAAAAAAAGCTTAGAGATAAAAATGATAAGAGGTTTGATCTAATCACTGCATTAATCCTCTAATAGGGATTACTTGGTGGTAACTATATGCAGGTAGGGTGTGGCTAGAGGAGGTGGGGCCCTGGAGGTGTGCTTTGGAGTTTTATATTTTGTTCTTTTTAAGCAGAGCACTTCCCCCGCCCCACCCCCTTCCTGGTGCCATGTTCCCAGCTGCTGTCCTCTGCCACATACTTTTGTCATTATGTTTTTCCTCACCTTAGGCCCAGAGCAATAGAGTCAGCCATCTGTGTACTGGGACCTCCATGAGCCCTCATATAAACTTTACTTCCTATAAAATTGTTCTTGTCATGTGTTTTGGTCATAGCAGTGAAAAAGCTGATTAAAACAGCAAGCTTGGATATATGGACCCCTTATTTTTTTTTTTTTTTTGAGAGAGAGAGAGAGAGAGAAAGAATTTTTTAATGTTTATTTTTTAGTTTTCAGCGGATACAACATCTTTGTTTGTATGTGGTGTTGAGGATCGAACCCGGGTCGCACGCATGCCAAGCAAGCGCGCTACCGCTTGAGCCACATCCCTAGCCCATGGACCCCTTATTATTAACAGAGGGCACAAAGCCCCATGGGACTACTTGGATTTGGGATGCAACATGTACTTCATTTACAAAGTAACCCAAGAAGCTGTCTGTTCTGAATAGGGCCCTAAAAAAGAGACAATACTGCCATACAATCTTAACATTGACCCAACAAACTTGCCAATATTTCAAGTCTGTCTTAAACAGTGATGCTATATGGCATTTCTGCTGTACCTATGAGACACAACATAGGCCATCGTGATTGGTGTAATAAAGCTATATCATTCTCTACAGATAACTATTATCCTCTTTTTGGAAATATATTCTGGCTTGCTCCTGGGTCTTACAAGAGATTAAGTTGCCATGTGACCTGCACTGCCTATCATCAGTCAGGTATCATCTAACCCAGCAATTCATAAGGCAGACTTCCATCATCACAATAGAAGTGGTATATGCAAAACTGAGCCCAAGCAGATTCAAGTGAACCATGCTGCTATCTTGACTCCTCCTCATCAACCTGTACCTATGATCTCTTTGGGAGTTCCCTATGACTAGTTCCTTATTACTGGACTGAAAAAGAAAAACACACAGAACTAATTTACAAAAGACTGCATGGTATATTGGCACTATCCAAAAATGAACTACTAAAGCACTCAGTGCTTCTCGAAAGGGTCCCTGAAGAACAATGGGAAGGGAAAAATCTCCCAGGCAGCACATCTTCAAGCAGTGTACAGGATTTTTCACCATGCCTGAGGTACAATACATACTAGTACATTAAGAGTGGCTTTATGAATTGGCAAGATGGTTAGGAAATTGTTGGCAAGGTCTGAGGAAAAGGCACAGAATATGGAGATATTTGTGTCCCATATGAAAAATCACTAAAAATAATATTCACAAAGATAGATCCTAATTAATCAGGTAGACAATATGATGTGGACATCAGTCAGACACATTGTTAGCCAAGCCTGTCCTTGTACAATGAGGTCAAGAACAAAGTACCCACGTTGAAGCAATATAAACTTTCACCAGCAAAAGACCAATGTCTATCTCTATCTCTCTATATATTATACACACACACACACACACACACACACACC